GACTGGACTTCTTCCTTCAGTACCATTGGTTCTTGATCATATGCTACTTCCTGAAATGGATGAACATCGATCAATTCTTTTTGGTACAGTGACTCTCTGTATTCCTTCCATCTTCATTCAATACCCTGTGCATAGCATCCTTCAATATTGCAACTTGAGACTTCAATTTTTTCTTCAGTTCTTTCAACTTGAGAAATGTCGAGCATGTTCTTCCCTTTTGGTTTTCTAACTCCAGGTCTTCTCACAAGAATCTAATAACCAAAATATACATAAAACTTCTACAAGTTAACAACAAAAGGACACCCAATCATAAAATGGGCAAAGGACTTGAACAGACATTTCACCAAAGAGACATTCAAATGGCCACCAAACACACAAAAAGACGTTCACCATCATTAGCCATTAGACAGACGCAAATCAAAACCACAACGAGATACCATTCTACTCCCACTAGGATAGCTAAGATTAAAAAAAAAGGAGAAAATAACAAATGTTGGTGAGGATATGGGGAAACTGGAACCCTTGCCCACTGCTGGTGGGAATGCAGAATCTGGGGGTGGCAGCTGTCACAGCCCGAGCTGGTGACTGCTCCCAGCACAGCTCCCAGGGCCCAGAGAAGCAAGCAGGTGAGACACTCAGGATTGACAAAGTGTGAATCACAAGGGCAGAGTCTCACCTGCCTCCTGTTTCCATTCTTGTTAATTAGAGAACTGTAACTGGACCCTGCAATCCTGTTAGATAAGAAGTGATCACCAGGGATCAGAATTTGGGTCAGGCCGTTAAAGACAGGAATCGGTTCACCTCAGAAACAAGAACGGCACTGACTAGAGTGAGTGACACCACTCACCGACACAATCCTGCGACATCACCGACAGGCAGGGCCCTGCCAGGCTGGTCTGGGAGCTGCAATGAAGCTGAGCTGCTGAGCTCCCCTGCTCCACATATGGGCATGAGGCCAGGTGCCAACATAATGCTCTCAGGCATGACACAGAAACACACAGGCACCCTGCCACACCCCAAGAATGAATGCTCCGACTGTCCTACACTGGCTGTACGGAAGATGCTCCAGGTACCACGTTGAATTACCAAGTTCCAAAATAATTCAGAAGCATCTTTTAAATCACCAGAATAAGGATGGTGGGAGGTGGGGGGGCTGGGGGAACAGGGGTATCAGGCACTGTTTGAAAGTTCTTCTATTATTATTTGAGCACTAGTCAAACAAACAACATCAACAGCATGAAGGCACCTGACATGCAGCATCTCATTCAAGTTTCACAGTCACCTGATGAAACAGGTACCATTGCCCCATTTTAAAAGTAGTCTGTGTCTCTGAGGCCCAGGTTGCACAGCCAGTATGTGACAAAGCCAAACCAGCTTGCTCCAAAAGCCATGCTCCTAACCATTACAACTCCCAACTGCCACTCAGAAGAAGCATTTCCAGAAGATGGAGAAACACTTCTTACAAAGGAGGTATCTTGAGTAATCCAAAGACTAGGATGAAAGAGATCTGGTTCACCAAAGTATCTCAGAGGTAGAAAGGCTGAAAAGGGTCAGAAAACATTTTTAGTAAAGGGTCAGATAGTAAATGTTTCAAGTTTTTCTGTCTCCATTGAAACTACTCAACTCTGCCATAGTAGTACTAAAGCAGCCATAGATGATATACAGACAAATGGGCATAGCCGTGTCTCAATAAAACTTTATTTACAAAAACAGGCAGAGGGCCGAACATGACTCACAGACCATAGTTTGCTGTATCCTGCTCTAGGATCTCAAGTCAAGGATTCTAATAAATTAGTAATAATCTAAAATCAACTACTGTAATTCTTCAAACAACTGACATACCTACGGAAGATCCTGAGAGCTGATTATACCAGTACGATGAGAAAAGAAAACATGTTCTTTGCATATTAACTGGATTCATTCAAACCAGACACAGACTCCAGCCATAGGAGCAGCTCTTCACTCTTCTAGCACAGACAGCTAGGCAGTGCACTGCACATGGGCTGCTTTTTGGCAGAAAAAGAGATTGCAAATTGATGGCCCCCGCAACCTCTTCCCCACTGGGCCAGCCAGTGAAATTACTGAACACCCCCTAGAGTCTGCATCTCTGCCGACTACAGTGCCAGAGCTGCCTGCCTGCTAATGTGCCTAAACTGAGACTGATGATTCAGGGGAAGCACCCATCATCAGAATGGCTCTCCAGCTTTCTGGGACTGCGCCTGGACTATACCAACCACTGGCTCAACCCTCTTGCCTCAGTCCAAGATGTTGGTGCCCAGAACTGAGAACCAGGGGGAAGGCTAGGCTATCAAATTTTACCTGACAAAAACCAGAACTTCTACAAAAGGATGGTGTTAGATAGGGTTTGCTATTTCTACTCTTGGCACAGTAGTTCTCAAAGGTAGGGGCATGGGGGCAATTTTGACATTTGGCAATGTCTTGAGACATTCCTGATTATCACAACTGCGTAGAAGGTGTTTACTAACATCTAGTGGGTAGAGACCAGGGATGCTGCTAAGCATCCTAAAATGTACAAGACAGCCCCCATAACAGAATTATTGGACCCAAAATATTAATAGTGCTGAGATTGGAAACCCTGACTTAGAGGGATCTCGCCACATGATGATCCCAAATATCTCAAGCACATGTGCACAATCCACTATAATTTCAGAAACTCCCTCCAAAGACCACTTTGTTTGACATGTCAAGTTGATGTAAGGGAAGAAAAATACAGCAGTGTGTGTTAGACTTGCTAATGAAGCCTTTTTGTTTGTTTGTTTTTAGAAAAAGAAGAATTACTATTCCAAGGTTCATTTGCAAAGGTAGGAAGATGAAATAAATAATTTTTATAGTTTCTCTGAGCTCCAAAGTCCTAAGATTCTAAGCACATAAGGTGGTGGAAATTCTAACAGACTACTCTGGGAGCTTCCAGTAACTTTTTTTAGTATCTTGGTGAGGCTGAAAAGCTAAGACCAGGTCATAGCCCTTTAGAATGTGGAGGACAGCCTGCTATATGAAATTTTTGCAGCACATAATAAATAAAAACAGCCAAGATAACTAAAGAAATTGAAAGCCTATAAACTTACTATAAGTTTACCATATCTTCTTCCTTCCCATAGAAGATATGTGCCATAGAAGATACCTGATAGACTGAGATAAACAGAAGAAGGAATTTACTACTGGATTAGTCCCCTTCCCCCTTCCTCCCCAAATGGGTACCTTAAGCAGAAGCTTTAAACAGCGTTTTACTTGTTACGTCACACACATTGGTAACAACCAGGATGGCAACTGCTTTTTGTTTTCTTCCTGGTGGTGTAACCACTATGCTCTGGAGATGTTAGAGAAGATCTGATTAAAATGCATCCTCTGAAAAACCACCTACTTGTTTTTCAATATGGGCTCTCAAAATGGAGTCTCATTTTTTCATTCCATCAGATCAAGAAAGAATGATATTTTACTTGTTAGATGCCATCGAGTCAGTTTTGACTCATAGTGGCCCTATGTACAAGAGAATGAAACACCGCCCAGTCCTGCGTCATCCTCACAATCATTGCTATGATATTTTACTTAGACATATTAAAAGCCAGTGCCTACAGAGAGTGCCAAATCCTTGAAGGAATAGTCAGGTAATGCATGTAAAAAGCACTCAAAAAGAATTTCCACATTGTTCCTTAAAAGTAATCATTTTCTCCTGAAGAAAAACCAAATGAAATAAAGTTCTTCATATAAAATAAAAATATAACCAAGTCCCACGAACTTTTTAAAAAATATGCATACTAGAGTACGTTTCATGTGTTTGACTTCAAGCTTCACTCTACTGCTGCATTTTCAGTAATCATCATTTGAACTTCAGGAACCTTCCTTGATTGGGTCACAAAGTATAACAACCAACCTTTCCTCACCTCACTCAACCCTTTTTGTGTTTCTTTTATATTATGTATCCCAAACACTGAGACCACTGAAGTCCAGATTTGTCATTGAATAGCAACAACGTCTTCCACAGATCAAGACAGCTTTGGAAAATCTGTGACTCTAGGAAAGCTGGGATGCTGGATTTAGCAAAACATGGTAATAATCCAAATTTCATTTGCAATTTTTGATTCTGTAAGTATTTATGTATATATATTTTTCCATGTGTGTATATAAAATATCAGAAAGATATGAACTGAAATGTTAATTGTAGTTATTTCTTGGAGTGGTAGATTTACCCGTGATTTTCTTTTCTCTGTCTTTTTTTTCTTTTTGGCAGGGATGGGGGTGGGTGGGTTGGTGTTCGGTTTCCAAAATTTTCTATATTAAGTAAGCTGAAAGATTGTTTTGCCAAAAGAAAAAAATACATTATATTCCATACATGTATTTTTTTTCCCTACCTCACCTCAAAAAAGGATTTGAGACACCTAACAGAAAAGCAATGAGTACAGAAAGATTTCTTTCAGAGTGAGGGAAATTAGAGATAAGAGCAAGAAACAAGAGTAGTAAAATCTGAATAAGTCAAAGGTCAAAGCTATTGGCCAGCGTGGATGCCCTCAAGTCCTAAGCATTGACTGGAGGAGTTCCTGGGACTCCACGGAAGGAAGATTCCTCTTTATTCCTCCCTACCTCACCCCCACCAGGCCTAATTAAATTTTGTTTAGAGAAAGATAATGAGAATATTTTCTGCATTCCCTGAACACACTCCCAGATGAGATGACGCAGTCCAGAATTGTACGTGATGAAGGAGGAGAAGCTAGCTGCAAATTAAATATAACCAATGAGGCACTCTCAATCGCTAAGCAACTGACCCACTGCTCTTGGGATAAGTTGTCTGTGTGTGCAAGAGTTCAGTAGCACCAACAGGGTATTGTATTAACTTTCTAGAAATGCACCTCTGTGTGCAATTCATTAAGAACACCCCATGAAGACACTTGATCCATGACAAGAGCAAGCCCTGGGAGCCTCTGGGGTTCTATCAAGGTAAAGCCATGCCCCCCTCAGGAGAGGCCTGGTGGCACAGTGCTTACCATAAGCTGTCATGACACCAGCGTATGGCCCATCCACCACGTTCCTGTTTTCATCCGCCAGCGTCTTGATGTACCTTTTGCTGAGGTCCAGGATCTGCTCACACAGCATGGAGCTGCTCTCAGGCTGAGTTCGCTGCTGGATGGTAAAATGCAGGAGCATCATACCCCAAATGAAGCCAAAAGTCACCAGGAAAAACCCCAGCTTCTGAGATGACAGCTTCCAAGGAGTAAAGAGAGCCATTGCTCTCAGGCAACTTCACCAGCCCAGGTCTCTCAAAGCACAGAAGGTAGACACAAATTCATGGTGCAGGCAAGTCTGTCAGTCTCACTCAGGCTCCTGCGTCAGTGAAGGCCCTTTCATCAGTTCCATTCTGCTGTGAAAAAAGAGGAAAATTAGCAATGTGGTCATGAGAAAAACAAGAGCAATAAACCAGAAAGCCATGTTTTCACTTGAATAGCTCCAAAGTATGAACCCCCCCCCTTTTTTTATTTGCTTATTCAATATTTTATAGTATGATTCAGGATCTGCAAGCCAAGAGGGGATATCTTTCTAGGCGGCAAGAAGCTGTGCAAATACGGAGGGGAAATGCATGTCTGAGTGTGTGAACAGGTGTAACACGGCTGTTCCAGTCTGGACCAAGTTCAAAACAGGAAGCTTGTTTTGCAAGGTAAACAGAAGAGTTGTTACTGAATGTCAGCAAAAACCCAAGCAGAGGGTAGAGCTGGATCACCATCAGGTACTTTGTGTATCTGTAACTTGAGCTTACAAAGTCATTCTGTGCTTCTGTAAGAACAGGCGCGTGCACCTGGACAGGGGAGCAGGGAAGTGATGCTCTCTCAGGGGTCATTAGCCAAGTAAGAGGGGAAGAGACCCCATATCATTTAGGCATGGCAGGCTATCATTATCAGAGAGGAGTTGAATCTCTTACGGCTGCAGGTGGCCCGTGCACCACTGGACAGATATGCCAAAGGCACCCAGTCAGGGGGACATACAGGTTTTGATCACTTAGAAGTGAGGATGGCAAGACTTTGGCTCACTTACTTTGGACACATTCTCAGGAAAGACCAATCGCTAGAAAAGGAAATCATGGTTAGTAAAATAGAGGGTTGGCGAAAACGAGGAAACCCTACATGAGATGGACTGACACAACAGACTTAACAAAAGACTCAAACATACCAACCATCATGAAGATAGCACAGGACCAGCCAACGTTTCCTTCTGTTACATGTAAGGTTGCCATGAGTCAGGCTTGACCTGAGGAAATTTACAGTAACCCAGTCAGCAGTCTTTCTGTTCCATCAGCAGGTTAAAGCTGCACTTCCCTGCTCACTCGCTCATTGCCACACAGGAAACGTGAAGCAGGTGGCAGTCGGCTTCTCTGAGGTTCTCACTTTCACTCCTACCCTGGGCAAAATGTGTACTTAGGTGGCACAGTGCCAAAATTAAGGTGGCCAGACCCTCTCTGATACCAGCACAGACTTACCCAAGGTCCTAAATCCTGGCTTCCCAACAAGTGGGGCCCCAGCATAGGTTGCAAATGGGCTACATGAAAGGCAAGATATCCACCCCTTCAGCAGAGCCCTGTGCTCAAGGACAAGCCACCTCACAAGTGGTATCATCTTCTAAGTAAGGCAGAAGAACGGCTGGGCAATGATTTCCTACAGGGGACTAACCCAGGCGTATTTCAGAGTGTGCACACATTTCAGTTCAAAGAACTCTTCCTCCCCAGCAGCCTAGGAGGAACTGAGAGCACATCTTGAGCAACTGGCTTTCAGAGTCTTCCGTGCAGTGGAAATGTAGTTGTCGGTCTCACTCACCGTCTGCCCCTCACATATCAGCACAGATATGAGTAGCTGGTAGTACCACTACTAATAATTAATAGCAAATAATAAATAAATACTAGTTATGTTCCAGGCAAGGGCAGTGGTGCTTCAGTAGTAGAACTCTCTCTCACCCTCCATGTGGGCGACCCGAGTTTGATTCCTGGCCAATGCACTACACACGTCTGTCACTGGAGGTTGGAGTACTGCTATGATGCTGAACAGGTTTCAGTGGAGCTTTCAGACTAAGATGAACTAGAAGAAAGCCCTGGCGATCTGCTTCCAAAAATTAGCCACCGACAACCCTATGGATCCCAACAGTCTGATCCGCAACTGATCGATCATAGGGATGGCACAGGTACGGGCAGCGTTTCATTCTGTTGTGCATGGGGCCACCATGCATCAGGGGCCAACTTGACGGCAGCTAATAACAACAAAATGTTGCAAGCATTGTTCTAACTGTGTTTTGTCTTAGCTCACTGAATCCTCCTAAGAGTACTATATGGTAAGAACTATTAATATTATGCCCAGTTTACAGATGAGAACACAAAGGCAGAGTAACTTGGCAAAGGTGAACCAGCTCTTATGGGGCAAAGGGGGGAGAGCCCAGGGTTCATTAAACCACATTGTCCTTCCCCTCACCACCCTGCTCCCACCAGCCTGTTTATATATGACCAGAATGATTCATTCATGTTTAAAAGGTTGTGAAAAGCAACAAAGAAGAATATGCGACAGATGTTTTATGGTCCACAGAGCCTAAAGTATTTATTTTCTGGCCCTTTATATGAAGGAACCCTAGTGGCGCAGTGTTTAAGCCCAGAAGAACTAGATGGTGCCCAGCTACCACCACTGCCTGCTCTGACAGGGATCATGATACAAGGTCCCAGACAAAGCAGGAGAAAAATGTAGAATAAAATTCAAATTCACACCAAAACAGACCAGACTTAGTGGTCTGACAGAGACTGGAGGAATTGCCAAGACTATCGCTACTGGACACCCTGCGAACTCAGAACCGAAGCCACTCCCGAAGTCCACCTTTCAGCCAAAGATTAGGCAGGCCTATAAAACAAACAATAACACATGTAAGGAACATGCTTCTTAGTTCAATCAAGTATATGAGACCAAATGGGCAACACCTGCCCAAAAGCAAAGATGAGGGCAGGAAGGGACAAGAAAACTAGACGAATGGATACAGGGAACTCAGTGCGGAAAGAGGGAGAGTGCTGACCCTTGTAGGGATTGTAACCAATGTCAGAAAACAATTTGTGCATAAATTTTTGAATGAGAAACTAATCTGTGCTGTAAACTTTCACCTAAAGCATATTAAAGGAGCCCTAGTGGCACAGTGGTTAAAGTGTTCCGCTGCTAATCAAAGAGTCGGCAATTCAAACCCACCAGTTGCTCCGTGGGAGAAAGATGTGGCAGTTTGCTTCCTTAAGTCTAAAATGACTCATAGCAACCCTATAGGATAGAGCAGAACTGCCCAATAGCGTTTCCAAGGAGTGGCTAGTGGATTCGAACTGTCAGCCTTTTGGTTAGCAGCCGAGCTCTTAACCACTTCACCACCAGGGCCTTGGGAATCCTATGGGGCAATTCCATCCTGATGGCAGGTTTTTTTTTAAAGCACAGTAAAATTTTAAAAAAAAGAGACGTCAGCTATGGTTGCAGGACCTGCGTCCAGATGACTTGCTCCCATGGCTGGCAAGATGGTGCTGGCTACTGGCAGGAGGACTCAGTTCCTTGCCTTGTGAACTTCTCCTCCAGTCGGCTTGAGTGTCCTTACAACATGGCGCCCAGCTTCCACCATGGTTAGTGATTTAAGAGAGAGCGAGGCAGAAATCACAATGTCTTTTATGAACTAGCCTCGAAAGTCACGCTCTGTCACTTCTATAGTATTCTACTGGTTACACAGGCCAGCCATGATTCAATGTGGAAGGAGACTACACAGCAGTATAAATAGCAGCAAGCAAGGATCATTGGGGGTATTCTTTGGGAATGACTACAAACTCATAAAACATCCTTTTAAACTACTGAACAGAGTATTTAACATTCGGGGAAGAAGTATTTCCATCTGATTTATTCACCACGATTCAGAGCTACTCCAAAGGACAAGGCAGAAATACTTGACATATATCTGCAGAACCAAGAGGACTCACCAAAATGCTCTCTCTCCTTGAGAACAAAGAGAGACTATCTCCTCCAAAGACACATATCAACTCCTCTTAGGGCCATAAGAAGCAAACTTCTGGTACTTTTATCCTAGCCCTTTTGTGTCTTACGTGAGTCCTTGATGGCTCAAACCCACTAAGGTCATCCTGAAAACACCCTTCTATATGATCAAGAACTGTTAAGAATGATTTTTAAACATTTTTTAAACTGAGGTGAAATTTACATAATATGAATAATTTTAAGTGTATAATTTAGTAGAATTTAGTACATTCTCAATGTTGTGCAACCATCACTTCTATCTACTTGCAAATTTCATCTTCCCCCAAAGAGACCCCATACCCATTAAGCAGTCACTCCTCATTCTCCCCTCCTCTAGCCTCTGACAACCACTAAGTCCACTTTCTGTCTTTATGAATTTACCTATTTTGGATATTTAATATAAATGGAATCATACAATTAGCAAAAAAAAGATTTATAGCCTTGGAAATCCTATGGGGCAGTTCTACTCTGTCCTATAGGGTCGCTACAAGTTGGAATCAACTCGACGGCAGTGGGTTTGGTTTTGAGGTTTTTTTTTTTTTTGACCCTTTATAGAAAAAGTCTGCGAATCCCTGAATTCTAGGTCAGTGGTTCTCAAAGTGTGGTCCCTTCATCAGCAGCAACAGTAACACCAGTTAGAAATATACATCCCTGGGCCTCTAACCAGACCTACTGAATCAGTAGCTCTGGGCGTGAGCCCGGCAACCTGTGTTTACAAGCCCCCAGGTGACTATGGTGCTCAATGAAGTTTGAGGGCCCTGATCCAGGCCAACTGACCCCAGGTCCACATACATCAGCACGATGCTGTACCACCACTGCCAATGCAATTTGGCTCCAGTTACTTCTTGTACTACTTTCTAACAGGAGTTCCTCTAGCCCGTCCGCCCCTCCTCACCCAAGTCTGCTCATCGCCATAAACCCTGCGTACCTTCTTCAGGGTCTCCGATCTTCACACAAGCTGTTGCTCCCACCTGGCAGGCCCTCCCCCCATTATGCTACTCTCCAAGTGCTAACTTCATCCCACTCTTTAGACCACCTTTCTTTCCTACTGCTCCCCTCCTCGTCTGAAGTCCTAAAACACTTGTCTGTCTACCTTGGCTTGTTGATGAGTTTCTGTGTGGGATCCTGTGACACATTTCAGGGACTCCTGCATACCTGCTCAGAGAAAGACATTGACCACAAGGACACAATAAAATATCTGCTGACAAAGGGAACTTGTCATCTGAGACACTACAGCTCTTTATACAGCCCGTCTAAATGCTGGCCTCTTGATGGCAGCTACCTTCTTTCCTTCCTCCATTCACCGGACACTTTGAAAGCCACCCCGTTAACTGCTTCCCTAGAACTGGTGCTGCCCCTAGTTCTGCAGGAAGTGGTTGCCTTCATTATGCCTCCTAACGAAATACCCCAAGCTTCCTTTTTTTACAATCCACACTTATTAGTCAATTTTACCCCAGAGCTGAAGGGATTTTCTCAGGGCAAGTAAAGGAGGTGCTATACCAAGAAAGATAGTCTTCTGATGATTTTCTTTTACTATTTTAGGACAAAGCCCCAAAAAGCCAACAGGAATTACCTGTTAACTTTCAGAGAGGAAGCCCCACTCTACCTCCTCAGTTAACCCAAGTGAAGAGGCTGCTGAAGGCTGCAGAGTTGAAGCAAAGGAAAGGCCAAGGCCAGGAACTGACCAAGCTTCATTAGAAGGTGAAGCAGTTCTCTGCCTTTGCCTGGGGAACCACCTAGGTATTGCATTCCACGGGCTGAAGAGCTACCAAGAAACCCAGCCTAGGTCCCATTATTCCAGCTCAGAGACATGTAAATTTGGAGCCAAAATCCCTAGCTATAAGGAGTACAGAGCACAGTTCTGATTACTGAGGGTTCAGATTTTAAGTGACTATACAACTGCCGGGAATGTTCTCTTCCTCCAGTGGAATTTATAATTTGAAACAACAGAAATTTTATCAGCATACACACAGCAAACACAGAGAATTAAATTAGAATTCACCACTATAATTCCTATTAAGAAGTTAGAATTTTAAGTATTTTTCAAAAGCATCATATCTTATCCCTATCAAGATAAGATAGGGCTACTGTGGTGGCTTGTGTGTTGCTATGATATTGGAAGATATGCCATCGGTGGTATTTCAAATATCAGCTGGGTCATTCATGGTAAACAGGTTTCACCGGAGCTTCAGGACCCAGAGAGACTAGAAAGAAAGGCCTGGGGATCTACTTCCGGTAATTAGCCAATGAAAACCCTATGGATCACAGAATATTATCCAACACGTTGACTTGCTTACTTTGGACATGTCATCAGGAAGGACTGCTGGATTAGGGCATCATGTTTGGTAAAGTGGAGGGCCAGCAAAGGGAAGGAAACTCTCCATGAGATGGACTGACACAATGTCCACAACAATGGACTCAAACATACCAGTGATTATGAGGATGGTGCAGGACAAGGCAAAGTTTCATTCTGTTATATGTAGGTGGCCATGAGTTGAAGCCAACTCAACAGCAGCTAATAACAAATGATGAGAATAGAGGACAGCAGTCCTCATCAAAGGATCTTGATGGTAAAAAAGGGGCTTAATGATAATTATCAGTAATGGCCACACAATTAATAGGCCCCAGACATTTAGTGCATGAAAAGCTGTGGATCGGGCTAAGAATCTGCCTGCCTCCAGAACACCTGGATTGTCTAGCAAAGTGGAGCTCATGGGCACAAAAAGGACTATACAGTATATTATCAGAAGGTCTTATTGCCAGTCAGAATAATAATAGCCCAGGGGGGCATGACTTTACTGATCCACCTCCAGAACAAAGTCTGAAGGAAGTCTGTTTGCAGTGAGCTAGGGTCCATCACTGCCACTAACTACCCTAACATGAATCCCCTCTAACCCTGTACTTCCTGTAAGAGGATCATTCACTTCCTTCCCACTCACTCCTCAACACAAGAAAATATGGCTTCCATCTTTCCAAAGGCCATCAAAGATCTCTGGTAAGGAAATTTGTCAGTTCTCTCAATGTAAGAAACAAAAGCACATGAAAAGATGCTCATAATCGTTAGTCAGCAAGGAAGTGCAATTCAAAACAACAATGAGATACCATCTCATATCCACTCTGCTGCCGTCAAGTCTACTCAGACTCGTACTGAATCTACAGGGCAGGGCGGAACTTCCCCATAGGCTTTCCAAGGCTGTAATCTTTACGGAAGTAGACTGACACATCTTTCTTCGGAGAGCGGCTGGTGAGTTCGAACTGCCAGTCTTTAGGTTAGCAGCGGAGCACTTAAACCACTGCGCCACGAGGGCTCCTCTCACACCCCCTAGGATGGCTATAATTTTTAAAAAGATAGATAATAACAAGTATTGACAAGGATATGGAGAAATTGGAACCCTCATACACTGCTGATAGGAATGTTAAATGCTGCAGCCGCTCTGGAAAATAGTTTGGCAGTTTGTCAAACAACTAGTTAAACATAATAGTTATTATATGACTCAGCAACTCCACTCCTATGAATATTCAAAAAACAAAAAATTAATACATATGTCCACACAAAAATTCGAAAGTTCATAGCCACATTATTATTCATAATAGTCAAATGTCCATCAACAGATGAATGGATAAACAAAATGTAATAAATCTGTACAATGAAATATTATTCAGCAATAAAAAGAAATGGGGTACTGACACATGCTACAACATGGATGAATCTTGAAAATGTTATGCTAAGTGAAAGAAACTAATCACGAAGGACCACATATTGTATGATTTCATTCATATAACATGTCCAGAATAGGCAAATATATACAAATATAGAGACAGAAAATAGATTAGTGATTGCCTACAGCTGAGGGAAATGCTGAATTGAGGATGAAGGCTAAAAGATGCAGAGTTTCTTTTTAGGATAATCATAACGATAAAGGTTAGTGGTTCGAACCCAACCAATCTGCTTCTATAAAGATTACAGCCAAGAAAACGCTATGGAGCAATTCTACTCTGTAACAAATGGGTTCAGAGTCGACTCAGCAATGGGTTTGGGTTTGTTTGTGTTTTTCTGTTTGTTTGTTTGTTTGTTCAGCCATTACTTTTTTACTCAGGATGAATCTGAGCTTCCTCTACTCAGCAACCAAAATATAGTAGCAAAATAAACTGGGTGCTAACCTTGAAATGATGGCACGTCCTCTTATCAAACTCTCGAGTCTGTGCCCAACAAAGTTGCTCATTGGCCTTAATGATCAACTTTAAAAGGAAATATGATAAACTGAAATGTATAAAAATGCCTTTATACAGACTGGGATACTACATAAGATTTTGCTTAGGAAAATAATGACCAACAGCAAACCCTCAATTTACAGAGAACGGCACCAAGGCCCAGAAACCATTACATTTTCCAGCTAGATTCAGAACTGAACCAGTACCCAAGTCCACTCAAGGCCAGGTCCTGCCTTCTACACACCACATGGTCTCCACCAAACCAAGTGGAGTCTACCAGCCACCTGCAGAAACTCAGAATGGAAAAGACCTCCAAATGAAATGCAAACCAGGACCCACTGTCAAATGATGTTAAGAAGTCATGAGAATCTAATGCAATGTCCTACCAACCTCATAACCCTGGAGGATCAACAGATGATAGGAAGAAAAATACATCTATGGAATTGTTGGTATAAGGAAAACAGATGGACTTGGGGGAAATTCTTGCTCTAAATATAATTATCTTCTGTTGTTGAAAGGAGAAGCCAAGAAGGAGGGAGGGACAAGCTAAGCAGCTTTTCCTCCAAAATAAGTCCAAATTTCTGGATGGTGCTCTGCGGTTGTTTACTCCCCTAGATGGCCTAGACATACAAGCTCAGTGCCACCAACTAGAAGTCAATCTTAGGGCCCACTCAGCTACCTACCACCTACCAGTTGCCACAGAGTCGATTCCAACTCACAGCGACCCCATGTGTGCAGAATAGAACTGCTCTGCAGGTTTTCAAGGCTGTGACCTTTTGGAAGCAGATCGCCAGGCTTGTCTTCCAAGGCGCCTCTCGGTGGGTTCGAACCTCCAATCTTTCAGTTAATTGTCAAGCGGTTAGCCATCTGCACCACCCAGGGACTCCTACCATAGGACCCACTTAGCAGCAGCTTCAAATCTTAAGCACAAACCCTTGACAGCTAAGACAACCACAAACTTTCTTCCTAGTCCAGGTAGGAAGTAGACTCGGGAACAACAGTGATGCTGGCCTGGAACAGGTAGGAACAGTGGCCCTTCTTTTTCACATTCATGACCTCCATCCTCTGGTGAACTCTAGTACTTTTTTTAAATATACATAAGCAGGAAAAACACATTCTAAGTGAAAACAGTCTGTTCCCTTTAGAACTGGCTAAACAAGTCTTATTTTGAGCTACTACCTGAAAGACATCAGCTAAAACAACACACCTTTGGCACACTTGCGGAGGATTTTTGACACCTAGGTTTTAAATAGCCTAGTCCCTTTTACTTCAGAAATAATTAAACCACAATGACACCCAGTAGTTTCACTTATTATGGGACATTTGCATTCTTGATGTGGGCAAGGAAAAGCAAACCTCCAACCCCACCCACATGAGAGGATATCTGTCCTTTGAATGTAGCCCAAGGCTCCATATGTGGCATCAACAGCAGAACAGATTTTCTAACACTGTAACATGAGTCTGTCTCCAGAATATGCACCCCTTCTTGTCCTTCTATTCCTTTCTCCCCCATTCCCACCCCCAACCACCATCTGACCATGTTCCTTCATGGCTCTTTCCACTAGAGGGCAGAGAGGAAGCCAAAACGGTTGGAAATGAACGTGCGACGATTTTATTCTTAGACTCGGGTGTGTGCATCACTGGCAGGTGGACAAAGGGGAAAGAGGACAAAGGAGTGAGAAGGAAGCTGTTGCTGCTGGATCAGATAAGATTTTCACATGTTCTGTGAGCTTCATTCACCAGGCCCATAGGTTATTCACATTTGACAGTATTTTCCATCAACAACAAATGAAACCCACAGCAACCCTCAGAATTCCAAAAACATTTACTAAACCAAATCAAAACCGAAAAAAAAAAAAAAAAAAAAATGGCTCCCTGAAAAATGAAATAAATCCCTTTAACTCAAAGTTTCTCAACGTTGACACAACTGACATTTTGAGCTGGGTGATTCTTTGTGGTGGGGGACTATCTTATGCATTGTAGGATTAGCAGCATACCTGGCCTCATACACTAGATGCCACTAGCACTCCCTCCCCCTAACTGCAACAATCAAGAATGTCAACAGACACTGTCAAATGTTCCCTGGAAGATAAAAGTGTCCCCAGTTGAGAATCACTGCCTCAACCAAACAGCAGGCCCTTTCCAATTCTGTAGGAAGAAGTTCAAAGAACGTCAGGCATTAGGACTAGATTGCATCGCAAAGGAGAAGCAAAACAAGGTCAAATCAGAAGTCTATCACCACCTCAGGGGACCAGCAGGCACAGAGCTCCATGTTAAGGCTGTGAAGGCCACAGAAGAACGTTCTTGTCTTGTATCATCAAGTCAATTCCTACTCATGGTGACCCCATGTGTTACAGAGTAGAACTGCTCCATAGGGTTTTCTTGGCTGTGATTTTGAGGGAAGTAGATCTCCAGCCCTTTCTTCCATGGTGCCTCTGGGTAGGTTCAAACCACCACCTTTCAGTTACCAGTCAAGCACCAGCCATTTGCATCATTTATTTCCCAATGCTGTCTCAAGCTGACTGATACATGAGTCTCAATTTCTTCCATATCCTTCAGTGCCACAACTGTCTTGGCACCAGCCAAAGAGTTTATTCCTAGGCTGTCCATACCACCATTTATTAATTAGTATCTGGCAATGGGGCTCTGCTCACAAAGATCCCAGTCTATAAAGAAACGGGCACAGAGATGAGGCTTTGAGAAGACCAAACCTGGATGATACTTCATCAGTCAGTCTTAAAAAAGCAGGACTGCCATCTGACTTCCAGCCAAGGAAAGCGTAACAGACATTCTGATAGCCGATAATGACTCTCTAAGAAGAAAAAAGGAACAGGCTGTGAACACATCACACAGTGTATAAATGTGTTAGGTAAGTCTACTCAATGTTGAACAAAAACTCTCAAAAGATTCACTTCCACTCAGAGGCAAAGGGTAGTAAAACCACAAAAGAATTTTAGAGTAAGTATGAAATGAGTCTGTGTTGTTGAGGAACAGACTTCTGGCCACTCCCTACATCTAGACAATACCCATGAAGGCAACAGGCCCAAAATGGCCTGAGTATCCAGG